AAGAAGGCTGAAAACATGTCATAGTAACAAAAGCCAAACCCAACACAACCCTCTAACTCCATTGCGCGGTGAGGATCAAAACATATGCAGCCTTACTCGTGCATAAAGTATTTTTGGTAGGCCCTTGATACATTGCAGCATTTACCACCCCAAACTTCCTAGACTATAATAGGGATTTAATGTTCCATTTTGATTTAGCCCATTATTTATTCGAAAATGAAACATGATTCGTCAACACTTCTCATGTTACCTTCTTCGTTCTCAACTTTCTTATCAATTTCCCTTTTCTTTTCTTCCATATCTACAATCTTAAATTTGGAAAAAGATAATGCATTAGCTTTTTTTTTAAGCATAGTGCATTAGCTATTACTTGCTTATAAATGAGAAAAGATAAGTGTATTTAATATGTCAAAATTGCAGAGGGGGTGGGGGGATGAGAGGTTAAAGGCTAGCACCAAACCTCCAATTCAGACACCTAATATGAGATACTCAATCTTGAAATTCCTGAAATTAATATTTTCAAAAATCATCTTTTCACATATGGAAAGGAGTATTCAGATGCAATAATGTAGTTCAAAATCATTCAAAACAAAATTAGTCCTCATAAATACTGCTAATAGCCACCACATATAGAACCTCCATCACTTCCTTTCCGCGATTCGGACATCAAAATCCAAAAAAAAACTTCTCCTGCAATCACACAGTGGTTTCTAGTAGCCCTCAAAGCTAAAACACCCACCAACCCAAAACATATGTGTGTTTTGGAAACAAGATTATTAGAGAAATGAAATGTTTGACTATGGTCAAATAGTTAGTAAAATTGTTTGGTTAACAGCTTTATAGAACAACTTATTGGATAATGCAAAAAAAAACCCAAACACTTAATCTTACTAAATGCAAGAGATGATACATACATTTACTCAAACAGCTAACACAAATATCTATTGTTAGTTTCTGTAAGGCTTGCACGTGAAACTTTAATTTTTTTTTAAACTGGGTGGCTGTAAGTTTCGAACTCGTGACCTCTTGGTCATCAAAGCTCTGATACCATGTCAAGGAACCGATTAAACCAAAAGCTCAAGCTTGTGCTTATGGTCCAAGAATAACATTTATTTCCCGGAAAGGCTTACCGGTGCATATTGGAACTTCCGTTTAGAGGACATTTGAGGGCGATTGGAGTGGGTGGGGGTGGCGGAGGGAAGAGGAATCCAGCGGCAGAGGAAGATAACGGCCCCAGCCTTATTACAGCTGTTGCGAGGGGTAGCGGGCTGAGTGCTAACCCACTGCTTCTTCCATTTCCTGACGGGGCCGTCGAACACCGTCGAAGGTGGCGCTGAGCTGTACCTCGACGAAGACCGCCCGAATCTCGACCCGACGCCGTCCATTTTTTCCTTCTTTCGGTGCGGAAAGCTCGAGACACGCAGCTGATTCGAATAAGACCGTGGATCCCTCTGCCAAACTTAGTGCAACCAAAACAAGTTAAATTTCAACATTTATTATTACAAAAATGCTAGGGGTACACCATTTGGGGTACTCCATTTGTACCCCTCCATCTCCACCACACAAAGTAAGAGAGAGAAGAAAAATTAAAAATAAAAAAGTAAATGAATGGCTAGGATCCATGGTGTACAAAATGGGGTACCCCAAATGGGGTACCCCTAGCATTCCTCTTATTATTATTATTAGAGTTAATACATTTTTCATTTTGTAAATATGAAATTTTTGTTTTCGGACTATAAAAAAATTTATTAAGACATCCACTCAAAAAATTTTATTTTGAAAATAATCTTTAAACGTAGTTAGTACTTCTCATATCCTTCAACGAAATACATCTCTAATTTCTAAATTATGTTATAACGAAATCACTCTAGATAAGAGTGAAATATACTCCCTCCATCCCGCAAAAATGTTCCTCTTTCGATTTTTTTTTCATCCAAAAAAAAACTTCCCATTTGTCATTAAATGTTCATTATACCCCTCCATCCCAAACCCCAACCAAATCTAACCTAACCCACCCCCCACCCGTTCTAATCTTCTTCTCTCCTCTTAGCCTCTTCCAATTCCCAGACTTCCTCTCATCTTCTCCCCTCCTCTTCTCTCAGATCTAATCTCTAAATCTTTTCTCCTCTCTGAATCGATGAAAAGTCGGCGGCGGATGAGGAGATTTGGGGATCTGTATCTCTTCGGCGGCGGCGGCGTTTTGTCCGATCTCTTCTAGATCTCTTCCCCTCCACCCACCAAATCCCTCCTCCCTTTTCCGATTTCTTCGGCGGCGGCGGCGTTCGACGCCTCCTTCGATGCCCTGACGGGGACAACCCCGCGGCGGAGGGCAGCGGGGCCCTTGGGG